AATTTTGGCGAATATAAAGTCGTGTCAAAAGGTCACTGGGTAGTTTTACATATTTTTCCAAAGCTATCTGACAAATGGTCATACTATATAATAGTTGATATACGCCACATCGTTTAAGTTTCATAATGTTGTGAGGCTGTCAAAAAAACATTACAATACTGAAAGTTATTTGAAAAAGGTCAAAGTGTTAGCGGAGGGAGCAGTAACTTTATTATATAAATTAAATTGAAAATACTTTGGTTCGAAATGTTCATGGTTAATTTAAATCACCCTAAAGACAAGGTAGGAACAATAAGAGATTCATTTAAAAGAGTTTACCCTGAATCTAAAATTCAAAGAAAAACAGAAAAGTTTTCACTTTTAACTTGCCCAGAACACGTTTAATGAAACTTTAATTTCGACGGAATCTTTATACCATCTGATTAAATTTCACCAGGACTAACATAAAAACTACAATTTCATGTATTTTTACGCAAATCAGTACTAATGTCTTTAAAATAGGCTCCTGAGCCAATACAAGTATGCTAGCGCTTAATCCAATTTTCCATACACTTGTTAAAAGCCTCGGCTGGAATGGTCGTGGTTTCAGCAAATTTAGGTTTTTATGGTTTCGGCTCATATTTGGAGCGCTAGTCGCTAGACTGTTGGACTGTATGGACGTCATATTCATTATCCCACGTTTCATCAACATTAATGATGCGTTTGAAGACGTAGTCGCTTTCACAAAAGATTCAGATATTCAAAACTCGGTTCAAAAATATTGAGATCCTTTGTTATTTCTTTGATGCCAATACGATACTTTTTTGCCTTTTTAACTTTTCGAATATTATCGTTAACACAGGGGGATGGGCGACTCACATGAGGCAAAATTTCAATAACTGAAAATATTTGTGCCACTCAAATATTTATTTTCGTAATAAAGTAGACTCCCCGAAACACTTCTGCAACATTTTCACTGATTCCACAGCCCTAATTCCATTGGAAACACAAAATTTCAAGCAAACTCATTGTTTAATTTTTTCCATGGTAAAAATCACCAGAAAAATTTTTCGCGTCACAAACCAACAGCTGCAAATGCACACACTAATTGACATATGAAGATAAAACTTCACACGAGCATAAAATAAGGGTTAACGAATCTAGGAAAAATGTATTGATTCAGTTTGCAAACGTAGCATAAGTGGACTAGTCCGAGTCAAATTTGATCAGATGGTATAACATTGACATAGTGATTAGTGATTCAATTATTCTCACTTCTGCGCTTTTTATATTCTCTTTCAAATTGTTTTAGTATTAATAATCTAAGGACAAGAGCATGCAATTTTCATGTAAAATTGTTCAAGGTGACCTATCATGCGAACTACAATAAGCTCATAACAATGTTCGGAAGGGAGAATGAGCCAAACTCTTATGATATGTATATGAGTGATAACTCAAACCTCACCTATTGCTAGTACTATGAATTTAATGTTTTTAATGTTAATTATTTGCAAAGATATGATATAATCAACGAAATGAAAGGCAACCAACAACTAATACTGGTGTAGACCTTCCATTTCTTAAATGGACTATTCCGGAGTTGGGATATCGAAGAATATACTCAACAAATAAATAAAATGAAAAATTTGCATTTGAACTAAAAGAAAATTCTGCTTCAAATGTCTGCCTTTAAACTCTTTAGTTCACCTATTATCTTTGCGACTACTCAAAGGCTTTCATAGCTGTCTCTTCAGTTTCCACTCCGACAGCACAATCTAACTGGAAACTGAAACATCAATATTAATGCTGATGAGTGATCATCAGTGTTGGTTTTAATAGCCACGGGACCGCCAGGTGACGACATTGATTGATGGGAAGCAGTTAGTATTGATGTTGGCGTCGCGTAACGTTGCTGCTCACTTGATTCGAAAAGGAACGAATTCTATGAAAGCATGAAGAAAGTAAAGAAAACTGCATTCTCAAAGAGATGAATTCAATGGTATGCGCCACACTGCCATATATATCATTAATAAAAATAAATTATTTCGCTGGGCTCGGTGGGTGGCAAACATTACGCATTTATTCATTTACATTTGCATTTTTTATACGTGTTCTCATTTTCATTTTCGGTCTCATTTTCATTTGAATTGCTTAATTTTAACGATAAATGATTTGGCATAATGATGATGATGACGGCGCGGTGCACATACCTTGCTGAGGACTACAAAATATTATTTATAACTGAATAAAAGGAGCACAGTAATAATGCCTTGAATGTGTAGTTGTGTGTGTATGGGAGATAGAACTATTTATTGTGTAGGTGTGGCAGTAGTTTCGTGGTAATTCGTGTGACGGCGCGGCGTATGGTTTTTTGATAGGTTTTCACAGCATGAGCGCGCAAGGACGAAAAGGACACACAAAAACGGATATTTAATTTCAGGCTTTGGAAATGCTCAAATGCTAACGATATAAAAGTTTGTTTCTGGGCTTTTATTTTGCTAATTGAAATGCGTTCTTTTCTGTATATTTTTTCTGCCGTGAACAAAGTAACTGCTGGACATTTACAGCGTTAAATTAGAGGCCGATTCAATTTGCTTACGCCATTCATTTTAATTGCTTGGCAGGCGTCTGCTCTCAGCAGCTGATTTGCTTACTAAACTACAGGATATTTATATACATATTTATATATATATATATACACACCTTTATTATTTGCCGTATACCATATATACATAAATATACACGTCTGCCTTTGGCATCGCCTCAACACTCTCAACGTATCACCGCAGCATTTCCACTTCATTTAGTTGTCGTCTTCAACTACAGCTTTACTAACTGTACTTAATTTTCAGACATTTTGCTAAAGTTAAAAATAGGGTTTCTAATTAATAAAAATACAATGAGGCGCCAACCTTCTAAACGGAAGCTGAGCATTAAAGCATTGTATATTATATATTTATAGACGAAAATATTTTTGAAATTGAAAAGTTTCCTTTTAGATTTAAATATATATTATAATGTACTAACATAGTATAATATAATACAGTAGATTACAAGTTATGGCACCTGACAATTGCAGAGACTCCTATCGTATTGACGACATCAAATTCATTTCCTTAGAGGGGTTGGAATTTTCTCAAGGTAATCTGATGTTTTTTTGGGGGTCGTTTTAGTGAATATATTCAAATTTCAGGCGCTTTTGGCAATTCATCGAAAAAGCAATTCACATTTTTACTATTCGTTTTTTATGATTTGTTCAATCACAATAAAATCTGGTCAAATTTGACCCTGACTAATCTGTATAAAATGCACACGAAAATTGAGCCAATAAAATTTTTTTTCCTAGATTGGTAAAACTTTTGTTATGTTTGTGTGGTGTTTGTTCCAAATGTTAATTAGTATACTTTTGGCCGCCATCTGTTTATGACGCGAAAAGTTTGTCAATGGTAATTTTTACCATGGAAAAAATTTAACAAAGAGTTTGCTTGAAATTTTATGTTTAAAATGAAATCAGGACTTTTGAATCGTTGAAAATGTTGCAAAGTGTTTTGCGGAGTATAGAAGTATTTAATCGCGAATACTAGCAGTCACCGAAAACTCGGCTCATACGAATCGACTTCTGTTAATGACGATAACATCGAAAAAGTTAAATAAACACTCCGAATAATCGTCGTGTTGGCATCAGAAAGATAGCAGAGCATCTCAACATCTCATGTGAATCGACTCTCAAAATTTAGGTAAATATTTTAGGTATGAAACGCGTCAAAACTGAGCTTGTATCAAAAGGTCGAAATGTTTTGTAAAAACGACATTGAGTAGAAGTTGCAAAATATATTCGTTAAACGCATCATTACTGGAGATGAGAAGTGTGTTTATGAATTTGACGTCGCAAGTGTCCAACAATTTAGCGAAAGGAACTACAAAAATTAGTCGAAACTGAAAAAATAAAAATTACCTAAAGGCACTGAAGACCATCTCAGCCGAGGGTTATAACAAGTGTATGAAAATTGGATTAAACGTTGGCAGGCTAGCATTTGCTCAAAGGGAGCCTATTTTGAAGGCAATAATAAAAATTATTATTGAAATGCGTGAAAATGTTTTTTTTTATTCTTGTCCCATCGGGTCAATTTTGATGGTATAAATGTATACGAATTAAACCTATGACAATATCGTGTTATTCAGAAATCGATGTCCGAGCGTCTTTTCAATCTTTCTACCTCCACTATTTGTCGCTTAGAAAGCAATGAAAGCTTGAGCTGGGAACTCAACTTGTTCAACATGCAGTTAATTCATAGAAAGGAATGACTACATATTATCCATATTGGATTCACTATTGTGCTGGCATAAATTAAGGTGTATCTGATTTGAATATAACAGAATTACAAAAATATATTGATATCGAGGGAACAGAAGTATGGGTTATAAGGTGTACTTGAACTAAATTTGTTTTGAAATTTCAAATCATTAACGAATTTAGATTTAAATGCATTGTAAGCTTGACAACCCAATTCTGGGTAGTCAATTAATTTAAATCAAGCTGAGTAGATTAAATTCGCAAATATTTACGCCGAAAAAAATGCAATCAACAAACTAATTACCCGTAAATTTTCTGCAGAGAGGCAACTTCCCATTCACTTTAGAAACTCATAAACACACACACTTACAGACCATTGACGGTTTGCTGACGAAAGTATTATTTGTGTGTACTGTATGTAAAGATGTGAGTAAGTAAGTGCTGCTAGCTCGTTAATATAGTAAATTGACGACGCTTATGAACAACAGCGGCCTCTTTTATATTTTGGCGCCTTTTGGATAGGCTCGTACGCACACATATATACTGAACTGAAAATACTTAAAAAAGCATAATAAACAAATTTTTCAGCTACAGTTGCTGTTGTTGTTATATGTAATTTGTACGCTTATAATGCTTGTGTGGGTCCACGCTGCAGTTGTAGTTTACTGCTAAGCGGGCTTTTAAATATATATAAAATATGCATATCTGCTTGTTTATATGTAATTACCTTGCGTTTTCCTTTTTCAGTAGCAGACTCGCTTGGTGAGAAGCAATCTGAGGGTACCTTTAAAATTGAATTTTCCTTGATTGAAAATTTTTGCTGACGAAAGTTTTTAATATTGTTTTTGTTTTTGTTTTTGCTTTGAACAATTTTGATATTTTTTTTCTGCACTGTTTTCGTAATTTCACAATTTTAAAATTTTATTTTTTTGGAATTTTGTTTGTTTTTTGTTGTTTTTTTTCTTCTGCTGCCGTTTATTTAGTCACATGGCTATATGTAGTCAAATATTAAAATATGCTATGTGAGTTTATGCTCTGCATGGGATTCCCCCCACGCCACCAAAATTTGATAACTTAGTAAAATTCTTAAATCGCCTGTCGGCTCTGCTTATAAGCGATTGTTTAAACAAGTTTTCGTTATTTTTAAAAATTTTGAGCATTTTTCTTTTGCTGCGTCAACTACTTTTCTGCACCAAGAGAATTAAATCTAAACACTGATTGTGCTTTTCTTTTAGACGCTTTTCTGGGTATGTATGTATTTATATGTTTTATAACACTGAGACATCACTCAACGGCTTTGCAACTTCCGAGAGCTCGTTTGCATTTCTGTTGCATATTTTAAGGCGCGTAAGCAAGTGAAATTACAATAAGTTAGAATTAATGACATTTCTCAAAGCAATGCAAGACAGCGGAGACTTTTTTAGTTTGTCTGGCATTTGTTGTTGTATTTTTCCTACGGCATCGGGCATAATTTACCCGAAATAACAATGGTAAATATCTTTATTTTCTCCTTATTTACACGCTCACAAACATGCACACACATACATAAAAAGAGATATACACGAGCGGAACTCGTACAATTTTCCGCACCTGGCGCCGGAGTGCGTAATTAAAAATTCACTCCGTTAACACGCCAACAGTTAAAAACAAATATTGGCACCCCAATAAATAAACATTAAACAAGTAAATATGTTATATGTGAATATGCAATGAATTTAATAAGCCGAAAGAAAGATAACCGCCGCCGCGGGATTTCTTACAGATATGCCGATATGATATGTACATTAGGGTTGGCCAAAAAACCAACTTTTAATTTTATGCTTTAAATAAATTTATTTCTAAAAAACATTTACTTCGGTTAGACTGAAGCTATAATACCCTTCACAAATACAAACAATTCATGACAAGAACTTTGATCGGGCAGTTTGTGTGTGGGGTTGTATAGGTGTGGCATTCTGATTTTGAATTTTCCATATAAATAACAGGAACATTTTCCTATTATGTTTGGATGTTTGATACAATTCAACAAACTATGTTTTAGTGAAAATTACAGCAATACATGTTTACGATCTATCGTTCAAAAGTGATACGATGTCAAAATTCTGCATAAAATCGTAAAAAATAATTTGTAAAATTTTTTAAAAATTGTTGCACAAAATAATGCCTCAAAATCAAATTTGTCTGTGGCGCATCCCACTACACATTTGTACATATTTATATATATACATGTATATATGTACGTTCGAAAAAGTCAACAACAATTTACTTCCCATTCATTCATACAACACGATTTCTTACATTGTCTCATAAAAGTAGCCGCACTTGTGTAACATTATATTATACATACATATGTATGTATAGATGTTTGTGGAATGAAAGAAAGAGGTTAAATTACATTAAATTTTTAATGACTTCCATTTTAACTGCAAACCCTGTCCTTGGATAGAAGTAATTAAGAAAAGTTTTTGTGGCAATAATTGGAAGTATTTTGTTGGATTGTGGCACAGTAACGAGACGAAATGTATGTGTTGCATTAAATTACGGTAATTAATCAATTGTGAACGAGTTGATGTTATTGGAATGTAGATGTATAAAGGGGTCTGAATTTTTTGGTAAGTATTTTGTATATAGAGTGTATGTATTCAACAGCTGACTAGCGCTTGATAAGGATTTATATTAAATATATAGAAACTCAGTATAAACATTTTCTATATGGGGATCAACATTTTTGATGCCTGCTCTTTTTAGTAAATTACATCAGAACCTTAGTAAATTTCGGCACAATAAAGGTTGAGGAAGTTATGCTGGTCTTATTTTGTAGATCAGCTGCTGTCAGCTTTAATATTTGAGAGAACTTTTCATTTGAATTCGAAAAATTCATCACCTTCTTTTCTAATATTGAAACCAAACTATTCTTGCCTTAGTATTGTGGATATGAGTAAAAATTTCCAACACTTAGATAATGGAAAGCAACATTTCTTTAAACTAAATTTTTATTCCAGCATATTTGTACAGGTTTATAGAACTTCTCATACAAAATTTAGGTATAATGTAATACTTGTTCTTTACCAATTTGTAATCCATCGCAAGTCACTGGAACTGACTAAGTCCGAGATATCTAAAACAAAATGACAAGTAGCTGCGGTTTTAGACAGTATAAATAGAAAACTTCGGGCATGACGAGACGAACGAGAGAGTAAACATAATATGTCTACTAAATATCTAATGAAATATTAAAAAGGAATCTGACGTCCTTCCCTTTGTATGAGCCAGAGCTAGATGTATATTATAAACGGATATTTATACAGTGCCTATATATTATTTGTTTCAATATATTTTTGGATTGCTCACTTTTTTTTACAAAAAAAAAATGTAATAAATATACTTATTTAAAAAATATCTAACCCCCACTCTCTTTTTAATGAATATTTTCAACAATGCTCGCTAATTTCAGTTGTGTAAAGTGGGTAGAAGAATTTGACTGTCCAGGGAGTAGGTGTGATATCTGTTTCACAATAACTTTACCGATTCTGAGATGAGCAGTTGGAAAAAAATCCCAACTTTATATCGTCAATTTCGTTCACTTGACACTCAAAAATCATATTATTCGGCTAGATAGTTGAAGATGAAAGTATCTAAAATGCTATTTATTTAAATTTTGAATTTTTGGTATTATTTTGTCAACAGATGAATATTTATATTAATATTATGATCATTAAAAAATTATGCGTTTTATAGAGCTTAAACATTTTAACGGAACTAAGGTTATTTTTAGCTTAAAATGTATGTTACATTGTTAAAAGTAATCATTACTAGATCAAATATGAACTTTTATTTCAGCATAAAAAGCACAAAAAATATTATTGTTTTTTCGCTAGTTTTCTAGGTGAATCCCGTTATGCATATTCTCTGTTACAGCAGGCATTTAAGTAGTTTCGCATTTAGTTATGATTACAAGTGTCAAATACGAGTTGCTCGTAGATAGTCAACAAGTGGAGTGGAGCAAGCGCGTGAGATATTTTATGAAGCTCGTGATGAAAGTTTTGTTATTTACAGCTTTGTATTTACAGTTTTGTATTACGCGCCAAATGAATGTACAGGATGAACGTAGCTGTATAAGTCAAGAATATTATATAAATATTTACGTGCTCTTTAGCTCTTATGGCAAAACTTTGCAGAGACAAAAGTCCAACTTAGTGTATTCTCTACTTGATAACTCACTCTTTTGTACTTTGAATGGATTTGGCAATTGTTGGTTGTTTTCATGGCAATACAATTAGGAGAATAGAGAATAAAAAATTATATGCATATATACTGGGGGTTTTCCAAAAGGTTTATAAAGCATTTATTTGAAATAAAAATATGTAAATACATACATAATGATTGCTTTTATGAAAAGTAAAACTATTGCTTAAACAAACAAACAAGATCTTATAAACATTCTAAATCCATCAAATATCTCTACAAACATTTATAAAGAACAAATTTAAAACTTCAAATAATTTCAAAATAGAAAGTGGATCAAATGCAGCGTGGTTGTGAAAGTTAAGAGTCAAAATCTTTAACGTAGTGAAATTAATGAAAATTGGTGGTCAGAACAAAAGGGGTAAAGCGAATTACTGTCAAAATATTAAGTTAAGCTTAGTAAGTTATAATGGTATCCAGTAAAAAGTATAACATTAAAGTATAAAACCTTTGGTCTGGTTATAAATTCAGTCATAAAAGTGTTTGTAATTTATAGAGTTATTTTCTACAGACTACTTTTAGGCGTATGAGTCGAGATCTGCTATTATAGCACACGAACGAGAGCAAAAATACTACTTTTAAGTATCTTGATTTATCAGCTTAAAAAATGTTTTATTTTTATATTTGAATATTTTGAAAGTTATAAAATCATATAGTGGCTATGATTCTAATTAAACTTCCTTTACTTTATTCTTACATACCTATGAGCAGAAATATTTAAAATTATGATGTTAAAATTTTCTGAACAAAATCTTTAAGCTGAAATAGGAAAAGGATTTGAATCACTGATCCTTCAGGCGATAAGGAATTAAGCACTAGATAAGCCATGCGATCAAATTTGACCCGAACCAGTCCATTAACAAGTTTTTCCGAGATTAGTATAACTTTTTTTTATGTGTGTGTGAAGCTTGATCTACATATTGTATGTTTGGCAGCTGTTTGTTTACAACGCGATAAGTCTGCTTGACAATTTTAGCAAAAGATGAACAACGAGTTCGCTTGAAATTGTGCATTTTCAACGGATTCAGTGCTATGCAATTGTTGAAAATGTTGCAGAAGTGTTTGTGGTAGTCTATTTTATTACAAACACAAATATTTTTGTGGCGCAAAGCATTCAGTGAAGGTCGGAAAGTCATCGAAAACTTGCCTCATGTGAGTTGTCCATCCACCTTTGTTGATGACGGTAACAGCGAAAAAGTTGCAGACACAGAAGAAGCTTCAAAACCGTCCTGTTGGCATCAGAGTGATAGCAGAGGAGCTCAACATCTCTTTTGTATCGACTAAACACGTTGGTTAGTGTTTTGTCAATGCTAAACTCGTACCAAAATATCAGAATTTATAACAAAAACAACGTCGAATAGAGGTCGAAAAAAAAATGCGTAAAAATGTTGCTGAGAACCCCCCATACATTAAATACAACATAACTGGTGACGAGACGTGGGTTTATGAATATAAAGTCCAAACTGTCCAACAATCTAGCGTGTGGCGCTAAAGGTCATTCCAGCCGAAACTTTTCACAAATGTATGAAAAATTGGATTAAGCCTTGTCATGCTGTTAATTGGCTCAAAAGGAGCTTATATTTGAAGATTTATTAAAATAGTATGTAGTAATGTGGTTTTTTTTTAAAGGAATCCGGGTCATATTTGATCATTTAATATTATTAATGCTTTGAACGTATTAAGAACTGGATACCTAAATAATTGATTGTATAAATCTTTGTGAGTAAAATATAAACAGATGTTTGTCAGAGCTTCGGTTATATGCATGTTTTATTCTTGATTCACTGTGACAAATGAAGAGCATTGGGCATTTTACTAATGTCTTCCTTTCTGTAATGTACGAATTGTTGTTTGGAAATGGATCGCAGATTTTAGAAGTTTAAAGATGTACCCAAATAGCAATTATATATTATGAAAAGCTCTTCCATTTCATTTAGAGTTATGAAACAACGATCTTTTAGGCAGTAGGCGATTAAGCTTTGCCCTAGATATCCTTTTTATATCGCACTTTTTTTCAAAAATTATCCTTTGAGATAGATAAGGTAAGCTTCGACCTTTTTCATATTTTCATTATTTCTATGAGCATATAAAATAATGTGTTGACAAATTATAAAACCTGTCAGTATAGTATAATTTTTGCTAGAGTTGCAAATTATGTGCATAATACAGCTCTAGGCAATCTGTTGTGCTCTAAGTGTCTGTGAAAAATTAAAAGTTAATTGAATTTGCCTTAGACATTTTCTTTTTTTATCTTCAGCGAATACAGTCTTGTAAGCTATTTTACATTTTTTTAATATTTTTGCTGTAAGAGTATTTACATAAAATTGTATATGCTGCTAAACTCCCATTGTTTAATTAAATAAAAAAATATAAACAAATACAATAACATAAAACAAAAACTGTTAGGAGTTCACCTGCAAAACGAAATTTAATGTCAATTTGCGATAAAGCACATAATTCCTTTCTCGTGAATTCGCAGCACACACACACAACAACAGCGCTAATTGGCGTTATAATCTGATTGGGCTGAGCGCAAAAGTTGATTTAACGGTAATATCAGTCATCTTACAGTCTTTTGCTGCTATATTTTTTATATACGAGTATTTCGTTTGTGCGTTTTTCTCCGCAACTCAGTTGCTAAGCGCAGCATTCGATGTGAAACATACATTTTGCCGCCGGTTCAACGCCACCTGTCCGCTGATTCGCACTCAAAATCACAACACATTAATGCACACAACAGCTAGCAGATAAATTATAAACAAAATCAACAAACGTAGGCAACTACACCTGTACACATATACACGTACACACATAAATATGTATATGAACACTCACACTCTTGCACTTCAAATTTTTTTGCGAGGATATGCGCAAACACAATAAATAATGCTTTTATACGACTTGACACCTATGTATGTTTGTAAGTATGTATGTATGTGCATATAATTGTGTGTACGTTTGTTCGATTATCTGCTGGCAACAGCTACATCTTACGATGTCACACATACAGATACAACACAACACTAAATGTGTGAGATTCCACACACCTACACTTACACTTATATATATAATTACATACAGATATGGGTATGTGTATATTTTTTCTAAATGTTTCACATTTTCACCGAGTTTTTGCGTTTTCCGTGTTATCCAACCGTTCGTTTCAAGTTTTGCCGCGAGACTGAAAATTGTGTTCGCCTGCGTTTCGAGAAAACTGTGTCGTGCTGGGCCAACTTCCTTTGCTGTGTGGAGCTTTTGCGCTGGAACACAAGGGAATGGAACAGCATTCAATTCTGTGATGTTTGAAAGTTTGTTTGTGAAGCACCGGGCCGCGTAAATACATACATATACACACACTCTCATATACATGAAACAGCAATATCAACAGTAAGCTTTGTCGGTAGTCACTTGGTCGGCGGTGGCATACGAAAAACTTGTTGTTCCAGCCATTGTAAACATGTGCTGCCGCTGACTGGCTGCCAGGCATTCTGAATGCTGCAGTGGTGACGATTATGGCAGCGGCTGGCGGCTGATGGCTGGTGTTGCCGCCGCTTAAGGTAGCTACTTGGTCGGTAGACGGACGAATCGTTCGGTGTATTGGGTTAGCTGGGACGAAATTTATGTGTCAAATGTGTGTGAATATGTGTATGTTTTTATTCATTTTTGTTGCTGCAATGACACTTGTAGCGTCGCAAGGAAAGCATTACACTGGCTATATGTTGCAGCAACATGTTGCCAGAAGCATTTTGTCTTTGTTTGAATGTTGTGTTTCTGATATCATTATACCCTGAACAGGAAATTTTTTTAACAAACACAAAGCAACACTATAATTTTCGAACCTGTTGTTCAGAGCGGACCGCTATACCATATAGCTGCCATACAAACTGTCCCTAATCACCGAACATATTTTTCAGATCGCACCAATGTAGTATATAGCATCCATCCAAAGTGACCATTAGGGTGGGTCAAAACCAAATTTTTTTTTGCTTTGTACTTGGTTAAATTTTTTAAATTGGTTTATAAACATCTCTTAAAAAGGTTCTAGAAGTATGAGCTCTTAATTGTAACGGGAAGGTCTTTCCATAACAGTTTTTATTTTTTTTCTATTATCAGATAGAAAACTTCATATCTCGTAGTAGTATTTGCACTACTATTTTGCAGTAAGTTTCATACAGGACTATGAGCTGTGCAATTTACAATAATATTTTTTCATTAAGTTATAAAATTTATAAAAAAAATGTTGCCTTAAAATAAAACCCGTAAGAAACCATTTTGTAGAGCATTCAATTTCCTAAATTTTTTCAAGTAGTTGGAGGCGAAGCGAAAAAAAACATTATTTTATTTTACCTACCCGAGTGACCATTGACCGGTTACATTTTCAAATTTAGTTGTTGTCAAAAGCAAATCACCTGTGAATTGCATTATAGCTTCGCAGCAGCTGAAGTTAACGTTTTTGCTGGTATCTTTGTGAATTCAATTCAATATTTTTTAATAAAAAATTATCTTTATTAATAAAAATTATCTTATTTAATGAAGCAGATAATTTTTCATAAAGTCTACGAGTATATGTTAAGTATTTTCTAGATCGCTTGCAATATTAACTACGTCAGTATTTATCAACTACACAGGTTCGTTAAACAACAACAGCTGTCATTGCGGCGCGGTAGTTTGACGTTTCATAGACGTGTGTAGTACATTTTGACTTTTATTAAAATAAATAACAACTTCTGAAAAAGTATAATATTATTACGAACTAGAACCAATATACCATCTGATCAAATTTGGAGCTGATTGGTTCATTTAAACTGCGCGTGCAAACCGAATTGATACAAAATGTTTTCCCAAATTGATACAACCTTTTTGTTAATGTTCGTATTGACGTTTGTTTGACAATTTTTACCAAAAAAGATTTAACAACGAGTTTGCTAAATATTTTTTTGTAGCAATGAATTGACGGCCACCGAATCATTGCAAATGTTACAAAAGTGTTTTGAGGAGTCTACTTCATCAAAAACACAAGTATTTGAGTGACACAAAGTATGAAGTCATAAAGTCGTCGAAAACTTGCCTCATGCGATTCGTTCATCTATACACAACTGTTAATGACATAAACTTCGAAACCGTTAAAAAAAAAAAATGAAAGTCGTCGTGTTGATATCAAAGAAATAGCAGAGAATCTTAATATCTCTTATGGATCGATCAACAAATTTTGGTTAATGTTTTGGGTATGAAATGTGACAATGCTGGATCGTACCAAAAGACCTGAATCTTTTCAAGCGTGACGCAAAGGGGATGTTTGACAACGTGGCTGAGAACTCTACATTCATCAAACATTGGTGGTATAAAGCAGCACCTGCTTTTGTAATAGCTTTTATAAAATAATTTAAATACTAACAAATTTTCCTCAGAAGTAATTCGAGATTCTCCAAAGAATTTCCATGAGTGCATTCAATCGGAACTGGAGTTTTTCGATTTATTTGCAAAATATTTAAATTGCTTAGTCATTGACCCAGTAAATATATATACGCAATTTTGTATTGGCACACAATTGTTTCAATTTCTTTTTGATTTTAATTATTTAAATGTAACATACTTTGAAATTGCATTGCTATTAGCAACCGAAACAGCCAACTAATTCGTTAAATGAAAAGCTAGCTAAATTGCAGCCACAAGAAAGCCACAACTTATTCTTCACACTCGACTGAATTTCAGTGTTTATTGAATTCTTTTTGCATTCGCATTAAAATTAATGGAATTCCAGTTTATAAATAGGATGCTTTACAAATGTGCATATCTACCTATATATGTATATATATATATATTTATAGATATATGGCAATATATATACATATACACAAATGCAGTTCGAACTGAAATGAATTTATAATATATACATGAATTTTTGTTTATAAATAAGGTGAAATATCAGCAGCTACACACACATATAAATATCAACACGCACGTACACACACACACATATGTGCTTACACACACATCGCATTAAAAAGCACTTGAGAGCCTCAATTTAACGTTCGATGTGTTTATTTCCAATTGAGATTCTATTTCTGCGGTGCTGTCTTGCTTAGTTCAGTTTGCCTTTTCGAATTCCAAATGTCAGCTCACAAGGCTGGTCGAAGGCATTCGCACTGGGCGGTGGGTTATGTGTTGTCCACACTTGTGGCGCAACAACCGACAGTGGATACACCAACCGAGCTACCGAGTAGCCTGCTCCCAGGGGCGGTCAGTTGAGTGAGTGCCTCATTGATGATACATACACACATCCTAACATATGCGTATATACCATACATATAATGCTTACAAATTTATAACTGCATGTACATATGTATATATATATTTATGTATATAATTTTTTATATGTGAGTATGCTTAGGTGTAAATCTGTAATTGCCGGTGGTTCATCCGTTGATATATGTATATATACACACTCCGGTACATATTCTAACCCACAACTTAGCGATAAGATAAACATTTAACTCAGCCAGCATACAAATAAACTCATTATAGCAATGTATACACTCTTCTATAAGTACTATGCCATAAACAAGCATTTATAGATCTTGTGGATTTAGCGCTTATGTTATGTTTGGCATTTCGATTCAGTATTTAACTTTTTATTTTTGTTTAAGTGGGGCTGAGTTAATAGTTTGTTCCGAATCTCTCTAAGTTAGCGATTACTCAAGGGGTTTCTTAGTAATCTATCAGAAAATATTCTATTTAACTCTACCGCGCTAGTCAACTAACTAACACATCTCAATGTTTCCATGCCGTAATCTTCTCGGAGCCGTTTCTTAGGATTGACCGTCATATAATATCATCATAGAAACCAAAGCATCAAAAGATGTAACAGCCAGAAGAGAAGTTTTTAATGTCTATATTGGGAGCTCCATACGGAATAATTTTCATTGACTCGTTCGAAAAGAAATAAAACCATGAACCGCGACAATCATAAGGAATTACTGGTATGTTTGATAGGCGAAATCCCACCATACTGTCCCATTTAATAGAAGAAGAAAGTGTTGTTCCATCTAGAAGCGTGTTATAAAACAATGAAAATAATAAAAAGTTTCCGCATTTAGGGTTCTTATAGCTTCCACAGTTACTCGTACTATATTCTTTGAATCCGCCTCCCACTAAATCTTTCCTCTTCTCAGACTTGAAAAGGACGCTCGCTGGAAAAAAATTTAGAGGTAATCGCAGAGAAGAGGTTTATTTTAAAACAAAAGGCAAATACTTATAGTTTAACAAAAAGGTGTCGAAGAGTCGGAATATATATTGGTTGTATACACAATGTAAAAGTTCATAAGACTTAATGGCTACGAAAGCCGAACTACTTTGTTTGGAAAGGGTTTATATCCAGATAGAGACCAAATGTATTACTATAATTTATTACATTTTTCACAGGAAATATTTAAAAAAAAATCCAACTGAAATTTGAACCTGCTAAAATACACGTCAAAACTTTACTGTAGTTTTTGTGCTGCTTATACGCCAGAAACTAATCTGGATCTGAGAATTCTTTTAAAAATTTGAATTTGACCTTTAAGCTAACTTCCGGTACAATATATTGTATTTATAACTTATAAATTATTAGTATATACTCAATCATTTTATATTTGGACCAATATTCAGGCATTTCGAAACTATTAACAACAGGGCAGAAAGTTGAATTGGATAGAGTATGGTTGTTGATTGGTTGTAATCGATTTATTTTGCTTCAAAACTGTATAGTAGTCTTCATTTCCCATTCATTTCCCACTTGTGGATTTTAAAAACACGAATTTTTTCTCATATATATCGAATGTACAGTAGTGGTTAATAAAATTTTGAAAATTTATATTGCTGTATTCCAAGTACTTTTTTTTTAAATATTATCCAACTTTTGCTCCTCTTATGTGTTAAACACTTCTTTGGAATTCGTCTCAGTAACTGTTGACGATTCCGTTAATTACAGTTGCTTGCGATTTTTCGTTTAATTTGTGTTATGGTAAATATGTGTTTCATTGCTGTAAGTATGAAGAAGCTGACAAGTGCTCAAACAAGTGTGATTCTTACTTTAAAAGAAGGAAATTGCAGCGCGAGGGCGATCGCAAAACGCATAGGATGTAGCCATGTGTCCATTCTGAAGTTTTATAAACCATATGACGCAACTAAATCTTTGGACA